TGCCACGGGCCGGCCAATCCGGGCAGGCCGCGGCGCCGCGCAGCCTATCAGCGACCCGGGCTCGCGTGCGCTTCCGCGTTCGCGTGCGCGCCAGGCCCACTGCTGCAGGAACTGGGAGAGAGTGCCTGATCCGGCACTCGATCGCGGCCCGGCCTGACGGGTCTGCCAGGACCCGGGCCGTCGCCTCCCGGGGGACCCGATGGCTTCCGAGGGTCTTGCAGGCGTGCTGGCGGCCGTGCTGGCGGGCCAGGGGCTGCGCGTGCAGAGCTGCGACTCGGCGCCGGCCGGGGAGCCACCGGCACCAGTGCGGCTGCGGAAGAACGTGTGCTACGTGGTGCTGGCCGTGTTCCTCAGCGAGCAGGTGAGCGGCCGCCAGCCCGGCCCGCAGGGCCTCGGGAGCGCGCAACCAGCCCAGGTGGGAACTGAAGACCCAACGGCCACAGCCAGCGCTGCCGCGTGCATGGCGCTGCCCAGTTTTGCAAAGCACTCCCACTCGCATCTGTGTCCTGCGATCGTCCCAATATGGAGAAGAGGACCCTCAGGCTCGGGGCCTGTTTGTCTCATCCCACTAGGCCTCATTCCTTCCCTTCCCCAGAGTCTAGCAGAGTGCTCAGGGCCCCTCAGAAAGCAGTGGCTCAGCCCTGGCTTACCTCAGGCCTTTGGTGCCGATCCTGGTACTGGGCAACTAGAAGGGGCCAGGGCCATAGCTCAGGGCTGTACAAGGTGGACGTCGTGGGTCGTGTTTCAAAGCCAGACCCCAGTGTGGGGAATCCATCACAAACAGTTCATAGGCCACGCCATTGGAGACAAGAGATACCCAATGACATGTCCAGACGTAAATCAGTGCAAGACTGACACATGGTGACCCTCACTCTGGGGCCTCATCTCCAGCCCCTGAAGCAGCTTCCAGGAATCTCAGCCCTTTCTGAAGTGGAAGTCTTAACTCCAGAAAGGGACTAATTGCAGGGAGGAGAAGGTTGCAGCCCCCAGCAACTTGACGGCAGGTCTCCCGCAGCGCTTGCTGGTTTAAGCGCGTCTACCCAGAGGCGAGTCTTGGGCGACTGTGTTTGAGATGCCCCCTGGTCCCGGGGCTCGGGAAGGCTATGGCAGGAAGTGAAGATGCTCTCTCCCCTCAGGATGAGGTGCTACTGGTCCAGGAGGCCAAGAGAGAGTGCCGGGGGTCGTGGTACCTGCCCGCGGGGAGAATGGAGCCGGGGGAGTCCATCGTGGAGGCGCTGCAGCGGGAGGTGAAGGAGGAGGCGGGGCTGCACTGTGAGCCCGAGACACTGCTGTCCGTGGAGGAGCGGGGCCCCTCCTGGGTCCGCTTCGTATTCCTCGCTCGCCCCACAGGTATGGCCTACCTGGAGGCAGTGTGAACAGGGCCAGTTGACATCTTTTCCCCAGCTGCTTGGTGAGGTGAACCCCTCCACAGCCAGTCCTGTTATGGCTGGCACAGTCTGGCATGGGCAGATTCCAGCCTACAGGCTGGGGGCCTCGCACCTGGGTCAGGGATGTCTGTTGACGCTGCCAGCCCTGCACTTCTCTCCACACAGACCCTCCCTGCCCCATCCCCCACATCTCCCCCAGGTGGAATTCTCAAGACTTCCAAGGAGGCCGATGCAGAGTCCCTGCAGGCTGCCTGGTACCCACGGACCTCCCTGCCCACTCCGCTGCGAGCCCATGACATCCTGCACCTGGTTGAGCTAGCTGCCCAGTATCGCCAGCAAGCCAGGCACCCTATTATTCTGCCCCAAGAGCTGCCCTGTGATCTGGTCTGCCAGCGGCTCGTGACCACCTTTACCAGTGTGCAGACAGTGTGGGTGTTGGTTGGCACAGTGGGGATGCCTCACTTGCCTGTCACTGCCTGTGGCCTCGCCCCTACGGAACAGAGGGGTGGCATGAAGATGGCTGTCCTGCGGCTGCTGCAGGAGTGTCTGACCCTGCACCACTTAGTGGTTGAGATCAAGGGGCTGCTTGGACTGCAGCACCTGGGCCGAGATCACACTGATGGTATCTGTCTGAACATGCTGGTGACCGTGGCTTTTCGGAGCCCAGGGATCCAGGATGAACCCCCAAAGGTTCGGGGTGACAGCTTCACTTGGTGGAAGGTGACGGAGGAAGGCCTGCAAAGCCAACTCCTCCAGCGGCTTCACGGATCCTCCGTCGTCCCAGTGAACAGATAGGGAGGGGGAGGAGGTGACGAGGAGGTGGGCGGCTGTGCTCCCTCCAGTGTGGCTTTGTCTCCCTCTGAGGGAGGCAGGAGGCTGGCGACCAGGGATCTTGTTGCATTGGGAGCAGGGGTGGCTTTCCTGGTCCCCAGGAGAGCTACTTTAAGGAGCTTTCCTCTAGATTACACAGGGACAGTGCCTTTCACCAAGCAAGGAGTCCAAAGCTCAGGACCCGGCTACTCTGCGGACACACTGGCACTTCTCCCCAGGGACATGGGGAGATTTCTGCACTCCCAATGGCGTCTTGTCGTCACATTCTGTGTCTTCCTTGGGAAAGGCCTGCATCCTGACTCTTCCAGGCACTCACAGCTGGGAGGAGCCCCTTGCTGAGTAAAGAGGTGTTGCTTACTTTGCCTCCCTGCCTAGATGTCTCTGTGGGGACAAAGTGATGGGGACTGTGTCCAAGAGCTGCTCCTCCCCTTGTGCCACCAACAGCCACCTATGTCTTTCCCTGTGCACTGACAATGCGGGCCAGCCTGCTGTCCAGGCTGGGCTGCTGGCCTGGGATGTGACTCTTGAGGGGACCCATCCCTCATGAAACACAGCTCTGGGCCCTCCAAGGGTTGGGTAGTGGGCGGCCCTGGGGGAGGTTCATGTGGGACAGGAACTCCAAGTACTGCCTCAGCTCTGTCCTTGAGCCTCCCTGGTGTGGACCCCTCCCCCGGCTCTCCTGCCTCTGCCTTTTCACAACTTCAGCCCACGCCAGACCAAACCTTGTCTTCATTTCCCCTCAGCCTAGCTGAATCACGGTAGGATTTTTTTTAAGTAAGTGTCTGGGCATAGTGGCTCATGCCTGTAATCCCAGCACTTTGGGAGGCTTAGGCAGGTGGATCAGTTGAGGTCAAGAGTTGGAGACCAGCCTGGCCAACATGGCCAAACCCTGTCTCTACTAAAAACACAAAAAAATTAACTGGGCATGGTGGCATGTGCCTGTGGTTCCAGCTACTCAGGAGGCTGAGGCAGGAGAATCACTTGAACCCTAGAGGCAGAGGTTGCAGTGAGCTAAGCTGATATTGCGCCATTGCACTCCAGCCTGGATGACAGACTCCCTCGAAATAAAAAAGAACTTTGGCCAGGCACAGTGGCTTACATTTGTAATCCCAGTGCTTTGGGAGGCTGAGGCAGGAGGATTGCTTAAAGGCTAGAGTTTGAAGCCAGCCTGGGTAACGTAGTGGGGACCCTGTCTCTACAAAACAGAAACAATTAGCCAGGTGAGGTGGTGCACACCTGTAAGTCCCAGTTACTCAGGAGGCTGAGGCAGGAGAATTGCTTGGGCCCAGGAGGTCGAGGCTGCAGTGAGCCATCATCAGGCCTCTGCACTCCAGCCTGGGTGACAGAGCAAGACTCTCAAAAGAAAAAAAAGAATTTTACTAAAATTTAAGGGAAAATTCAAGGAAATGAACAAATAAAATATATCAAGTGTTCTACGGTAGAGATCTAAGTGCCATGATAACCTCCAAGGCCCCTTTCCCAGCACCCTCATCTCTCTTGCCTGCCCTCTTGTCTTTCTGGCCCCTGGAAAGTGGGAGGAATCCTTGTACCCTCTGAGGACAAATACCTCGCAAATGATGGAACTAAACCCTTTTATTTCAGTTCACTTCTCTCAGTGTCTAAGGGACCCACCAGCCCACATCCAGTCAGCTGGGCAATGATGTTTGGCTCTTTGTTCCCATTATTTAGCCTAGTAGTTTTCAACCATGAGAGCACAGTAGGGTCACCTGGTTTTTTTTTTTTTTTCTCAGGGTCTTGCTCTGTCACGCAGGCCGGAATGCAGCGGCATGATCGTGGCTCACGCAGGCTTGACCTCCCACGCTCAAGTGAGAAGTGATTTTCCTGCCTCAGTCTCCTGAGGAGATGGAGCCACAGGCACATGCCATCATGTCCAACTAATTTTTAAATTTTTACTAGAGATAGGGGCAGGGTCTCTCGCTATGTTGCCCAGGCTGGTCTCAAACTCCTATCCTCAAGGATCCTCCTGCCTCAGCCTCCCGAAGTGCTGGGGATTTATAGGCGTGAGCTACCACGCACAGCCACCTGGAAAGCTTTGACTCTGGGCCCACCCTCAGCAACACTGATTTAACTGGTGATGGGGCACTGGGCATTGGTATTTTAAAAAGCAGCTCAGCCATCGGTCATAACATGAGCTGAAAGCCACTGTCTGGCTCTTTTTCCTCCAAGTTGTCAGTCTGCCCTACCGTATCTCTTGGGAACTCCTCTCAGAGGATTCCCCACCCCTCCACACGCATCTAGGGATGAAGGGTTTATTTTTCTATGTGTTAATTTTTCTTTTCTCCTGAGAACACACCTGCGAATTTTCTTTTTTAGGAGACAGGGTCTCACTTTGTTGCCCAGGCTGGAGTGCAGTGGTGCAATCATAGCTCACTGCTGCCTTGACTTTAAAGACAAGGTTTTAAGTATCAGGCCTATTTGATGATGAAAACAGGCATACAACGCGCAACACGAACACACCCAGATGAGACATGAACACAGATGCTCCCACGTGGGCCCTCCCCTCACTGTGTCTGTGGGGTGGGCAGGCTCTCGGCTGAAGGTCAGCCTGGCAGAGGTGGCACTGCTCAGCCAAGAGTCTCTGGCAGGCGCTGGGGATGAGCAGATCTGTACTGCCAGAGCCTGGCTGTTTACCACCCACCCCACCTCCCTGCTCCAGTGCTAGAAAAAGAATTTGTCTTCCTTGGGGAGGAAGATGGTCCCGAATTAGCACTGGAGTCCTGGGCAGAAGGAGGGGAAACCTGGCCAAGAACAGCCACCGTGTCCACGCAATCACACCATTTATTGCTGTGCTGTCCGGGGAAGACACCGTGCAGACACCAAAGTGCATTGAGGAGAGGAGAGGGTCTGTGACTCCCAGACCCTTGAACATTTTGTGAACCTAGGAGTCCAGACCCAGTTCATCCACGGAGATCGTCCCGTCCACACTAACCCACGTTCGTGCACCCAACATGGCACAGTGCTCTCAGAGTGGCAAGGTCCTCCCCCGCGGGGAGGAATTCGGGAGAGGCAGAGGTCACCGAGTTTCCTCCTGTTTCGTGTCACCTCTTGGCAACCTGTGCGTGGCTTCTAGAAGCAGCATGGGCAAGAAAAGGAAGCTAAAGAGGCTCTGGCCTGCTCCTCCTTGCCCAGAAGCAAAGCCAGCAACTGTGTAGTCCCGCTGTGAGGTAATGCCTGGCGCCGCCTGTGTATTCCTGCAGGTCAAGACAGATTCAGACCGGGTGGGGTGGCAGCCCCAGCCATGGAGGGCAGGCAGGGAGAACAATACCAGGACTGGCTGCCTGGGCCACAGCCACTCCCTGCCCTCATCTGTCTGGAGTCAGGGGGTGCCCTGCCCTCTTCTGTCTCCTGAGCTCCCTGGTCCCCCAGAAGGGTCTTCCATCAAGAACAGTGGGCAGAAGGAAGGGCGAGGCCCGGCCTCCCCTAGTCTCTAACCTCTCTGCCCAGGTGATGTGGACCTGCTGAGACAGGTCCAGAAGGCACCAGAGAGGAACCAGCTGGACCAAGGCCGGGCACCTGGCTCCCTGGCTCCCCAGCTCCCCAGCTCCCGGCCTGCTCCCCTCCTGGCAGCAGCTGCACCAAGGTTCTCATTAGCAGCAGCCCCCGCCCGGGTGTGGAACATGCTTTGGGCATTTGCCATGAGGCGGCTAAAGGTTTCGCAACAGTTTCCAGGGGAGCAGAGCAGGAAGAGGGGGGCTTCCCCGACAATCCCATTCACTGCTCCTTCTCCATGGGCTAAGCCATGAAGAAAAGGACAAAATGTCAGGTCTCACCAGCTCCCATGGTACCTAATGTGACACAGACAGGGCTCCAGGCCCCATCTCCTGGCCTGGGCTCCCCACGAGTCTTGGAGCCATCAGCTTACTCCCCATCTTGCCCCTGGAGTTGAGTCACAGGTCTTGGCCCTGGCCACAAATGGTCAGTACAGAGCGGGCCAGGCACACAGCGCCTGAGGGTCTGCGGTTTGGGTGCTCACCTGGCCATCACTCAGCTCCTTCAAGAAGGCCCCAAGGACCCTGCTGCCTGGAAAGCCATCTGTTTGGCTCCTTGGCACCTGGCAGGCCCATTCCCTGAAACCCAGTCTGGTGTGGTCAACGTGTCACGGCCTCCTTGAGTGAGCATAAGAGCCAAAGCCCCCATCCCAGGAGGGGAGTATGGTGGCGGTGGCAGTGCCAGACAGGAGGCAGCTCTGGGGCAGTGGGAGTCTCCCACTGCCCTGCTCCTGGCTCAGACCTGCCCTTCCGGGGCTGGAGAGACGTTCTGGAGAGGACCATTCGGGGGAAACTTGACGAAGGCAATGGCAGCCAGCTCCTTGCAGAACTCCTCCAGCACCACCACGCCCTGGAGTAGGGTCTGATGGTCCAGCCTGACGGGAGATGGCACAGGGGGCATGGCTGGGTGGGGGCATCCACCAGGCTTGACCCTGTGGCTGGCCACTTCCCTTCCCAGAGGCACTCTCAGCCCTCCTACCCCCCAGGCTTCACCTGGCACCCTTGGTACTCACTGCTCCCCAGGAGCCTGGCCCGTCAACTGCTTGCGCACCAGGAGTAGCTTGCCCGGGAACTGGGGCACCCTCTGGATTCTCTGCATCAAGTCCCCGATCACCTAGAGCGGGAACCACAGGGGACTCAGATGGGGCCATCCCCTGGCTCTGCCACACCGTGCAGAGCATGGGAGTCTGTGGTTTCCCATGCACTGGCAAGGGTGCCCACTGCAGCCCCCAACCACCTGCCCCGTTCCCCTTCCCTGCTGTCCCCTCCACCCCCACTGGGCACACTCCCTCGGGCCAAGGCGTCCTCACCCTCACCAACACGGAGAACAGGCTCCTGCAGCCGGGGGCCAGGCTGATGTAGGGATCCAGGAGGTACTCATGGATATGGGGGTGGGGGAAGAGGGCAAGCCGGGACAGGACCGAGGTCACCTGCAGGTTCAGGCTGTATGGCTACAGGAACAGTGGCCAGAGCTGAGGGTTGGCAGGGCTGGTGAGCATTTTGCACTCCCCCAGCAAGATGCCTGGCCAGTGTGAACGTGTGTGGGGGTGGGAGGCTCACGTGATGTGTGTGTGTCATGGATTCCATGGGGCTGAGGGCCAGAACATGTTAGAACGTGTGGAGCAAGGGCGAGATGGGGCTTCCCACCTGGAGAAAGGGCAGGGGTGCTATGGTGCAAAGGAACCGAAACGGAGGCAACCCCGTGGCCAGCCCCTGCTCTCGAAGGATCCCAGAGGCACCAGCCTGGCCTTCTCCTGGCCTGGGCCCACTGGCTACCTGATCCAGAATCCGAGACATGCGGTCAAACAGCACTTGGAGGAAGCGGCCCTCAAAGAAAGGTCGCTCGGGCTCATGGAGGTCCAAAGGTATAGGGGTCCGAGGCCAGCCCCAGGGCGCGACGCGGGAGCTGCACTCCTGGAACTGAGACAAGTGGGAGAGTAGAGACAGCGGGTCCAAGGTGTTGGAACCAGAAGACGGGGCCCCATGCAGGAGAGATAGGCAGGGGTCCTTGGGCAGATGAGGGAACCCAGAACTTATCATCCAGCCGCTCTGAAGGACAGCAAGTAGGAGCTGATAGCAGGAGCCACTCACCAGACCATAAGCATCGTGGACGTATGTGTCATAGCCCGTCTCCTCCAGGAAGGCAGAGGTCTTGGCTTCCTCGGGGACCAGGCACAGGAAACTGAGAGACAGAAGCTGGTATGGAGGCGCTCCAGGCTCCCCATTCCCCCTGCTCTCGGGACCCCATCTCCCTCCCCGACTGGACCCCATCAGGGCTGTGGCCAAAGAAAGAGTAAAACTCAGGCCACGCACGGTGGTTCACGTCTGTAATCCCAGCACTTTGGGAGGCCGAGGTGGGCGGGTCACCTGAGGTCAGGAGTTTGAGACCAGCCTGGCCAACATGGGGAAACCCCGTCTCTACTAAAAATACAAAAATTAACTGGGTGTGGTGGTGCATATCTGTAATCCCAGGTACTTGGGAAGCTGAGGCACAGGAATCGCTTGAACCTGGAAGGTGGAGGTTGCAGTGAGCTGAGATTGTGCCACTGCACACTCCAGCCAAGAGTGATGGAGCGAGACTACCTCAGAAAAAAAAAACAACAACAGTAAAATTCAAGTGGTTCAGACTGCCTGACCTGCTCCCCACCTGTTGACAATCTCAGTCACTGCTGTTTTGCCATCGTAACTGGTGGCAGGAGCAGGGCGAGGCTTTGCTCGAGGTTGAAAGCCGGAATCCAGGAAGCTATCGGTGAAGTAGGGGTCTTCTTCCAGATCTCTGTGGCCAGGGCAGAGCAGCGGGCACCAATAAATGAATGTATAGAGTGAGCGTGTGAGTGCTGAGGGCTGGGCTGGGTCCGGAGGGCACCGGTTTCACTTACAGGGTGTCCTCGTAGCTCTCAGGCTCTGGCGAGCCCCGGGCCACGTAAGGGCGGCCCTCGAGGTTGCGCAGGACCAGGCTGCGGATGATCCCCTCATGGGGCTTCTGTAGCAGTTCCTCGAACAGCCGGAGCGTGGCGATGCTGATCTGGAGCGGGAAGGGGATCAGCAGGATGGCCCCTTTCCCACCCAGCTCCCAAGGGTCCCTTGCCATTGCCCTAAGAAAAGGCCTCCGAGGCAGAGTCACCTCCCCTGGCTGGATGCTAAGGTGGCAGGTTTTGGGGGGAGTGGGTGGGTGTGGGTCTAGCAATCAGTAAGTCTGGGTGGTCCCCATTGTGTGACTAATTTGACAGGCGATTTCAGGCAAGCTAATTTGCTTCTCTGTGCCTCAGTTTCCATGTCTGAGAAATGGGAGTATCAACCTCACCTACCTCACAGAGTTGGCCCTCCAGCAAGCCAACTCAGTACAAAATCAGTGTGCAAAATATAAAATGCCATCAAAAATAAGCTGGGCATGGTGGCTCATGCCTGCAGTCCCAGCACTTTAGGAGGCTGAGGTGAGAGAGGATGACTTGAGGCCAGGAGTTAGAGACAGCAGTGAGCTATGATCACACCACTGCACTCTAGGGCCTGAGTGACAGAGCAATACCCGGTTTTTTTTTGTTTTTGGTTTTTTTTAAAAGAAAGGGCCAGGCAGGGTGGCTCATACCTGTAATCCCAGCACTTTAGGAGGCCAAGGTGGGAGGATCACGAGGTTAGGAGTTCAAGACCAGCCTGACCAACATGGTGAAACCCATCTCTACTAAAAAATACAAAAAATTAGCTGGGTGTGGTGGCACACACCTGTAATCCCAGCTACTCAGGAGGCTGACGCAGGAGAACTGCTTGAACTCAGGAGGCAGAGATTGCAGTGAGCTGAGATCGTGCCACTGCACTCCAGCCTGGGTGACAGAGTGAGACTCTGTCTCAAAAAAAAAGAAAAAGGTGTATGATAAAAAATTCATGTGTGACAAAGGTGGCTCGGCAGTGTTCTACAATTCAATGTCTCCCAGCGTGGAGTCACCTGGGAACACTAATGAAACGGGAAGAGTGTTCAGGAAATCCCTTTGGCAGGGATGGTGGGAGGAACAGGCACTGGTCTCCCGCCATACCTCATCAGAGAGGTGGTCACAGTGCCCGATAAGGTGAGCATACAGGGCACAGGGTTTGTCCCCAGGGGCTTCAGGCTGGCGGTCTGTGCCCAGGAGGAAAGTCACGGCCTCCCGAAGCAGCGCAGGGGAGCGGAGCTGGCGCAGCATGGCTGTGAGGAGGGCGGTGGAGGTCAGGATGCTCGGCTCAGACCTATGGGAAGAGGACACCTTAGCTAGGCCTGGTATGCAGATGGCACATGAGTGTGGAGGGAGAACCTTGCCTGGTTGCCTTGAATCTTTGGCTGGTATGGTCACTTGCCCATCCCTGCTGAAGTCCTGCAGGGAATGGCAGGAGGCCTTCGTTTAGCCCATGTACCTCAGAGCCATGTGTACATCATGGGGCAGGCCTGGCAAACATCACCCAAGGGGGCCCACAGATGGGATTCTGGTCAAGGAGGTGCCTGGCCTTGGGGACAGGAGGCTGGGTTAGGTAGGTGGTTTTCTGTAGACCACAGCCATGCCTGAGGGAACTGGACACTTACACGTGCAGGAGCTGGGGCTGTAGGGTCTCCATGAATAACTTCTCAGCCACAGCCTTCGCCAAGGCGTCCGCAACCACCTGGGTGCCAGAGAGCACGACGTCAATGTGTTTTGCGCTCATCACAATTCCCGCTGAGAAGTAACCATGTCATTGCACAGCACCTGATGCCACCGGAGAGGGTCCCAGTGCACTGGGGCCCCGCTTAGTTCCTGGACCCCATGTTTTCATGTCCCTGCTCCACTCAGTCCTCGAGACAGACGGTACAGGGAGCAGCGTGAGAGCCCTGCCTGCAAACGCCCCTGCTCACCATGTGTGCCTCTGTGATAAGGTGGTCGCAGTAATCAAACCAGCCCAAGAAGGCAGCCAAGGCCTCCTTGCCAGGGAAGGAAGCCTCATCGGATGGGGCACTGGGTAACCTGAAGAGATGGGAGGGAAGGCTCAGAGAGTGCAGGAGGAGAATCAAGGTCTTCCTCAGTATCTCCTGAAACTGGGCCCTTCCCCTCTCCTGTGGAACCTCTGCTGCGGCTGTCAGTTATCTTGGGGGTTTTGTGGACAGAGGCAGCAAAAGCAGTGCTTCCCTAGAAGGCAAGAAGGCCTCTGGTGATCAGCTGCAGCCCTGGGAAGAGGGTGACCAGCAGGGGTCCCCAGCCACGTGGAACACCAGGGGAACTGGCTGTCAAAGACAGGCAGGGCTGCCAGCCACTGAAGATGCTGGCCAGCCTTCCTCGGCTTGGCACCCACCTCCAGCTGATGCCCTCTAAGGCGGCAATGTCTGTGGGGTCCAGGAAGGCAGGCATGGACCGGTACAGCTGGCAGAGGTGCCGGATGATCGCACGGCAGCAGGGGCTGCTCTGTGCCAGGTAGGTGGCGGCCGCTGGGGAGGCTGTGCTCACCAGGAGTAGCAGGTTCTCCTGGGCCTTCAAGGCCACCCGACTTTTCTAGGGGATGAGAATACGATTTCAGTGACATGCATGTGAGCCCCCAAATCACCTCCCAGCCGTCGACCCACCCTTCCCCTGCCCCCGCCCTCTCCACCTCTGCCGCCAGCACCTTGCTCCGGCACAGCCCAAGCAGGGAAGTGATCAGGTTGCTCTCCGCAGTCCCACCGTCCAGCTCCTCAGTCTCAGCCAGCAGGGGGCTGTTCAAGGCCTGGGCCCCACAGGGCTCCCCGTCCCGCTGGGGCCTGGCGGGAGCACCATGATGGGAGCAGTCCTTGTCCCTGTGGCTGGCCGCGTCCTTAGGTAAGGCATCGGGTTCTCCACATGCCTTCTTCCTAGCTACAATCTTTTTACCCTGCAAAGAGGGTGGGATGAGGCCAGGCCTTGTGGGGACCACTTCCCAGGGTTCCCCACAGGGACCACAGGATGGGGGCTGCCAGCAGGGCCTCAGCCTGGAGGTGAAGGGGAAGCTGCCTGCACGTCTCCCAGGTACCTGCTCTCTGCTTCTGCCTCCTCAGGAGGGCCGAGGGGGCGTGCCCCTGGGGTTCCCGGCCCTCCCCCTCCTGTTCCCGATAGGAGTGCTCACTTCCAGGATGTAGGCCAGCAGCTCTGGGTCCTGCTGGATCTTGGAGCAGAGGACAGTGGTGAGCTGCACCTCCTCCTTTTCTGTAACGGATCCGGGAACTGTCCCACCAAGTCGGAGGAGTTTCTGGAGGAGCAGCAGGACAGAAACAGAGGGGAATGGGGTGGCAGGGGAGAGCGGGGGACCTCATGCCCAGACACCCCTTGGCCTCTGGGCCCCTCACCTGCACAGGCCTGTGGACGCTGAGGTAATGCAGCAGCGGGTGCTGCACCTGGGCCAGGACTCTGCTGAAGAACTGGAACACCTGCTGCCGCATGCCTGGCGGGTACTGAGGCCGGGACAGAGCCATGTCAGAAACCATCCCCGGCCTGAAACACTCCGCCCTCAGGGATCCCCAGGGTCAACTCCTCCCTGCATGCCTGGGGGTTACTGAGGCTGGGAATGGACATGGCACCTGTCAGAAGCCTCCCAGCCTGGAATATCCGCCCCTAGAGAGCTCCAGGCTCAATTCCTCCCTTGGTCCTGGCTCAGAAGGCACCTTCTCACAGGCCTGCTCCCTTCGCCTGGTTGTTGGAAACTGGCCTTCCTGGGGCTCGAAACCCCTTTTCCTGCATCCCTTTGCTCCATAACTGGGTCATTATTGACATACCACAGGACCGTCCTGCCCCTCCCACTAGGATTCTTGTTGGATTCTATTTATTTAAGAGACAGGGTCTTGCTCTGCCTCCCAGGCAGGAATGCGGTGGTACAATCACAGCTCGCTGCAGCCTCCAACTCCTGGGCTCTAGCAATCCTCCCACCTCGGCCTCCCATGTAGCTGGGGCTACAGGCACGCACCACCATGCCTGGCTCTTGTCAGTCCGAATCACTTCTGTGTCCCCAGCATCTAGAGCAGAGCCTGGCACGTGGCAGGCCCATCTTTGTGGTGTCAACAAGGAACAAGAGCCCCTGGATGGTAGGATGTTCTAAGTGAGACAGCCACAGTGCCCATCCCATTTGCTCCCCTCCCCGCAACTGCCACTTTCAGTGTCAGGACTGGGAAGAGCACAGGCAGAAAGGCCTGGAATCCAGGGAGCTCCGGACTGCCCACCTCAGCCTGTAATCCAGGGGGCCCCGGGCCCCCCCCACCTTGGCCTTGCCCTGCGCAGAGGATCGTCCACCTCTGCCTGGCCTGGAACGCAGAGGGCCCCTGACCTCGGCCTTGCCCAGCATACAGAGGGCCCCCCCACCTCGGCCTTGCCCAGCGTGCAGAGGGTCTCCAGGATCTTGTGCTGCAGTAGGTACTCCAGGCAGGGCCCTGCCTCCCCCACGGCTGCCTGCTGCTGCTCTTCATACACCAGGATGTCCAGCATCTGCTTCAGTCGCCAGGGAATGTCCGTCTTCTTGGCGGGGGTGTTTTCATCTAACGGATGTTTGGGAAACAAGGGTGAGTGGGGTAAAGAGGGGCACCCTGGCTTGAAAACTTCACCCTCTCCTGCCAAAGCCCAGAAAGGGGAGGGCCTGTCCAGGAGAGGTGGGGGAAGGGAGCTGCGGCCAACTGGGAAGTGGAAGTTTACAGCGGATGCTTCCATATTTAAGACAAAAGTCCTTCCAGGCTTAGGACACAGCCCTCTGAGAACTTGTGCACACCCAGTGCTTTATCCCAGGGTAGCAGCATTGGGTTCCTCCAAACCCCGGGACAGGTGCAGAGACAGGGACATGTGGTCACGGGCCCACAGACGGCTGCCTATCAGCTGTGGGCCTGAGTGAGATGATGTGGGCTCAGAGCTCTTGTCACATAACTTAGAAGCTGTAATTCCAGCAGCCACCTGAGAGAGAACCTCCCCCACGGACAGAGAAGGCCAGCCTCTTTTTCACAAAGCAGAAAAAAACACCTGTGCCACCACCTTCAGCTTTGACCCAGTCCTGCTCCCTCTACCAAGGCCCTGACAGGGAGTCTACTTAGTGGGGCTTTTGCAGTCAGAGTCTCAGTGTGTGTTTTAAAGAAAGTTCTGGTGCTTTAGGACTGGACTTGGAGCATCCCCTAGCTTTTCTTTAAGGTACAGGAGCTTAAGTAGGGCGGCCTGCCTCTCGGACTTCTGACCCCTCTGGTCTAGGGACCACTCTGGAAATGAAAGAGCTGGATGTGGGTGGATTTAAGCCAGTTCTGATCTTATCTTACTCTGCTGGTGGACTGAGGCTCTCCTTCAAGAGATCTTTAACCTGAAGAGGTGGTTCAGAACCGGGGGTGCGCTCTTGCCCCCCAGGGAACATGAGGCAATGTCTGGAGACATTTCTGGTTGTCCCAATTCAGGGGTGGAGTGTGCTACTGGCACCTAGTGGTCAGAGGCCAGAATGACTGCTGCGCATCCTGCATTGCCCAGGACAGCCCGCACGGGGAGGGTTCCAGGTCCAATGCCAACTGTGCTAACATTGAGAAACCTGGTCTAGCAGAACCCTCAGAGAGTCCCACAGATTTCTGAATTTCTTAGGCTGAAAAAGAAAGCCGGTAGGAAAGGTGTGGGCTGGAATCAGGCCAGTTGGCTCAGGGAAAAGGGGAATGTGTTAAACTCTCTTCTTTTAATCGGTAAACCTTAGGCACTAGCTCTTGGGGCCTGAAGGCCTGGAACTGGAAGCTGGGGGAAGGGCAGCCACCTCTTCCTTGCCATCAGGCCAGTGAGACGCCCCACCTGGCTACTCCTCCCTCACACAGCCCCTTTCCAAAAGGTCAGGGTGGGACCAGCAGCTAAATCATTCAGGAGCTGAGGTGGGACAGGCAGCTAAATGATTAGGAGCAGAGGCAGCCCAGGGCTCTAGGTCTTCTGTCTGGTTCTCTGTCTCCATTCACTCGGCTCCAATTCTGAAGGACTGGGCACATGACCTTCCCTAAGACACCTGGATGGTGACATTCTGCCCACATCTTCCTCCCCGCTCCCTCCAGGGTTCCCGAGCTGGGGAGGGCCAGGCCCTACCTGTGGTCTCGATGTAGTAATGTGTGATGCCCTTCCAGTGCTCCACAAAGGCCTGCAGCAGGTCAATGGGGGGCTCCCGCTGCGGAGAGAGCAGAGACACAACCTCGGTGGGGGCCACAAGGGCCAGGGAGCCCCTGACCTCGTGGATGTCAGGTTCATGCTAGGCCTTGGAGGAGGCCCCCTGCTCCCTGGCTTTCAAAGGGAACGGTAACACATTTCCTCCAGGACACACTGGCACCGTCTCCATATCTTGCCAAGGATCTCCTGGTGGGCACTTCTCCCTAGATACCCCTCCCTCCTGGAAAAGCTGTTTTCTTGCTATATGTCACAATCCTGTCCTGTCCTTAGCAATCCTGCTAAGAATGTTGCTCGGGAAACAGACACAGATTATTTCAACACAGCATGGTTATTGAGCTACAGTAGAGGCACCTAGAGGACAGGAGCGCAGTCCCCCGAAGAAAAACAAATGATACAGATGGAAAATGAGGCAAAGGCCAGGTGCAGTGGCTCACGCCCATAATCCCAACACTTTGTGAGGCCAAGGTGGGCAAATGGCTTGAGTCCAGGAGTTTGAGACCAGCCTCGGCAACATTTCTGTCTCTACAAACAATTTAAAAACTAGCAGAACATGGCCAGGTACAGTGGCTCATGCCTGTAATCCCAGTACTTTGGGAGGCCGAGGTGGGCAGATCAGAGACCAGCATGGCCAACATGGTGACAACCTGTCTCTACTAAAAATAACAAATTAGCCGGGTGTGGTGGCACATGCCTGTAATCCCAGCTACTCAGGAGGCTGAGGCAGGAGAATCGCTTGAACCCATGAGGCAGAGGTTGCCGTAAGCCGAGACTGTACCACCACACTGCAGCCTGGGCAACAGAGCAAGACTCAGTCTAAAAAAATTAAAAAACAAAACAAAACAAAAAAAACAACAGTAGGACGTGGTGTGTGCCTATAGTCCCAGCTACTTGGGAGGCTGGGGCAGGAGGATCACCTGAGCCCAGGGAGGTTGAGGCTTCAGTGTGATTGCACTGGTGGACTCCAGTCTAGGTGACAAGGTTGAGACCCTGCCTCAAAAAAAAAAAAAAAAAAAAGAAAGAAAAAAGAAAAGAGAAAAAGCTTTCTCATTCCTGTCAATGTGAGAGTCTATGTAAATCTCTTCAAGACCACCACAGGCTCTGTTCAGCCTGATGGGTAACATCAGCATGATATTAACAAAGTGCTTTTCTTATAACATGCTTTAATATTATGTCCAACGCCTGAGCCTGTACAACCCCAACTTCTTAGCCAGTGCTGTTCTCATTTCCTCTACTAGCTCCTTCTGTCAGCTTTGAATTCTGGTTCTGCTCTGGGCAAGCCTCTAACCTCCCCCTTTTCCATAAACACTCTCTCCATCTCTCCACACTACAGTGGTACAGCTGATACTGGCCTTGCACTCAGAACCACTTTCGCTGAAAACTTCTCAAAAAAAAAAAAAAAAAAAAAAAAAGCCATTCCTTCCCTTTTCTTGCAGAGTAAATGTCTGCAGGAAAAAAAGAAACAATTCCATCATCCCTCCCCACAGGTGTGCATGTCTGCCTCTAGGTCTTTGCTGGGGCCACTCCTCTGTCCAAGGTGTTCTGATTCCCGCTAACTTGTCTGGACCCCGAGAGTCCCCAGTGAGGTTCAGTCCCTAGCAGTTCCACCAAGTCCTCTGCAGTGTCCCTGCCTATCTGCACCTCTCTTTGACCCCACACTTTGCTGCACCACAGAGCTGAGTAAAATCATTCATTCATTCCAGGTGCCCACTATGTACAAGACATTATGTTAGATGCCACAAGCAACATGAGGATGACTAAGACCCAGTCCTCAAGAAACATGCCATGGAGAAGACAACATCAAACTGCACTGAATGATGAAACTACAAGGAAATAGTGTGAGGCCGCAGGAGAGGTGGAAAGTAGTGGCCTCTCTGGAAAAAGGGGTCACTTCTAACAGGCAAGGCTCTACCAAGGCCACATCTGAACTAAAATTTGAAGAACCAGGTCAGTATCAACAAGAGCAGGAAGGACAGTCCCTGCAGAAGGAACTCTGCAAAGTATGTCTGGGGAAGGGGTGGGTGGGCTGGTGAGTCTCTGGAGCCTCTAATGCCCAGCCAAGAAGTCTTGATCTTTTTTGCAGGCAGCAGGTCAATGACAGCTTTTTTTCTTTTTTTCCCCAGACAGAGTCTCACCGTCAACCAGGCTAGAGTGCAGTGGTACGATCTCAGCTCACCACAACCTCTGCCTCCTTGGTTCAAGTGATTCTCCTGCCTCAGTCTCCCAAATTGCTGGGATTACAGATGTGTACCACCACACCTGGCTTTGTGTGTGCGTGTGTGTGTGTGTGTGTGTGTGTGTGTGAGTGAGAAACAGTCTCACTCTCTCGCCCAGGCTGGAGTACAGTGCCGTGATCTTAGCTCACTGCAACCTTGGCTTCTCAGGTTCAAGCGATTCTCCTACCTCAGCCTCCTGAGTAGCTGCGATTACCTGCCACCATGCCTGGCTAATTTTTGTGTTTTTAGTAGAGATGGGGTTTCACCATGTCGGCCAGTCTGGTCTCAAACTCCTGACCTCAAATGATCCGCCCCTGTTGGCCTCCCAAAGTTCTGGGATTACAGGTGTGACCCACCACGCCTGGCCACTGACACCTTCTGGGCGGTGTTTTAGGAAGATGCATCTGGCAGTTGAGCTTGGGAGAGGAGGTAAAGGCAGGAAGAATGCTTAGAAGGCCACTGCAATGTGGGGGGAGGGATGACATTCAGATGACTGGAAACACTCCCCTGGGTCTGCAGGCCATCTTGTTCTTTCAAAGCTCGTTAGTAGGGGCCACAACCCTCCTCAAAGTGGTACCACCCACAGCTATTCCAAATATTGCATACCTATGGAGTGACCCCATCTCACCACACTGCATGTGACAGTGCCTGCTGGGCTGAGCACACGTCTCTCCTGCTAGATAAGCTCTCCGAAGACCAGGGTTCTGAGTTTTACAGCTAGCCTGCCCTCCATGGGCTCAGCACATAGTGAATACCCATGAATATTTACCAAGTATCTCAGGAAACTCCTGAAGACATTCTTTCCCTAGTTCCTTGTTTTAGAAAAGTCCTCTGGCCCTTTACCAGCCCTACAGATATCTCAGTTTCTGCAATGGGATCTCCTTTAGCCTCAAAATTGGCTGATAGTCTTAGAAAAGCTTGAGCTGGGCTTTAACCAAAAAGAACACTGCAGTATGAACAGAAGACACAGGAGGGGCAGGTTAACCAGCACAGGTCATTACGCAGCTGGTGACACAGGGGTGTAATCTTTTCCTGACTCAAGGACCAGCTATAACTCCAAGCCAAAGGCACTGGACCCAACAATTTCTCTTTAAAGATATTATTAGTGGCTGGGCATGGTGGCTCACACCTGTAATCCCAGTACTTTGGGAGGCTGAGGCAGGTGGATCACTTAAGGTCAGGAGTTCAAGACCAGCCTGGCCAACCCGGCGAAACCTTGTCTCTACTAAAAATATAAAAATTAGCCAGGTGTGGTGACACAGGCCTGTAGTCCCAGCTACCCGGGAGGCTGAGGCAGGAGAACCACTTAGGCGGAGGCTGCAGTCAGCCAAGATTACCCCACTGCCCTGCAGCCTGGGCGACAGAGCGAGACTCCAAAAGGCTAGGCTGGGTACAGTGGCTCACGCCTGTAATCTTAGTACTTTAGGAGGCTGAGGCAGGCAGATCATGAGGTCAGATGTTCGAGACCATCCTGGCCAACATGGTGAAACCCCATCTCTACTAAAAACACAAAAAATTAGCCGGGCGTGGTACATGGACCTGTAATCCCAGCTACTCAGGAGGCTGAGGCAGAATTGCTTGAACCCAGGAGGTTGAACAGTGAGCTAAGATCGCGCTACTGCATTCCAGCCTGGGCGACAGAGCGAGACTCCGTCTCAAAAAAAAAAAAAAAAAGCTGTAATAATTCCTAGTCTGTTGGCTCAGAAGAGGGCATGGAGGAGCATTATTCTTCCTTAATGAGGAGTCAGCTGACTTACTGGCATCACACATTATTTAGTGACCCAGGCCCAGGAAAGACCTGGAGGCCTGGTGGTAGAGCAGAAAAGAGGAATTTCCATCTCCCTGTAATCACCTGGGGCCAGCCACACTTCCTGGACGTAGCCTATGTGGTAAATGCTGAAAGTCCTGGAGGTTCGCCTGCCTAAAAAGATCTCCCTCCACTGCCCCAATCTCCTGCCACTGATGCCTGAACTTTGTCACTGGAAGCCTTAGAAACTGACTCCCCAGCTGGGTGTGGTGGCTCACCCCTGTAATCCCAGCACTTTTGGAAGCTGAGGCAGGAAGATGGCTTGAGGCTAGGAGTTCAAGACAAGCCTGGGCAACACAATGAAACCCGGTCTCTACAAAAAATGCAAAAATTAGCCCATCGTGGTGCCGCATGCCTGTAGTCCCAGCTAGTCAGGAGGCTGAGGTGGGAGGATTGTCTGAGCCCAGAGATGGAGGCTACAGTAAGCCAAGATTGCACCACTGTACTCCAGCCTGGGCTCATGAATAGAATAAATAAAAAAAAGAAATTCAGTCTTTAGGACTGAAGAACTGTCTGGCAAATGGAGTGTTCTTCAGAGACATGAATTAGTTTATCGTACCACTTTTGAAGATGACAGCTGTTTTGTCTGGGGATGGGGAGAAGGGCTGGAAAAATCATTTTGGAACCTTCTCTACCTGAATGTCTGAAGGCCCTGGACGTGGGACAACAGCAGGGCTAAGAAGGGGAGGGAGCCACAGTTTCTGACTTTCTTCCCAAGTGTGCCCAAGGCTGAGCCCTCCCTTCCACAGGAGCTCCCAAGAGGCTGGGGGATGAGGTGGTGGGGAGGATAGAGGGTGAAACTCAAGGCTTTTTCTCCTGAGAAAATCTGATCCTCATTAACTGGGGGAAGATTTATACTAGGAGGCAGCGGTATTGCTGACTTTACCGACAGCTTTTATTTTTTTTTTCTTGAGACGCAGTTTCACTCATTACCCAGGCTGGAGTGCAATGGCGCGATCTCGGCTCACCGCAACCTCCGCCTCCTGGGTTCAGGCAATTTTCCTGCCTCAGCCTCCTGAGTAGCTGGGATTACAGGCACGTGCCACCATGCCTAGCTAATTTTTTGTGTTTTTAGTAGAGACGGGGTTTCGCCATGTTGACCAGGATGGTCTTGATCCCTTGACCTCGTGATCCACCCGCCTCGGCCTCCCAAAGTGCTGGGATTACAGGCGTAAGCACCAACAGCTTCTTGACAGAGTTACTTTCAACGGCACCCCCCACCCCTACCTACAATGCACTACAACCTGCTGAACGAACCCTAGTAGTGGGCAGCCAGGGACCAGCCCGCAGCCCCAACAAAAAAATGGCAAAAATACAAACTCTGATGGCACGTGAAACATCAATGGATTATCTCCGCCTCCCCGCGCAGGGCCACACAGGCCCCACCACCGGCGGCCTCTCCCTAACTCAGTCAGTTTGGCTTGCGACGGGTGAGAGCCACGCTGGAAACTCACTTTCCCCCAGCAGAAGGCGGTTTCCCCGGCTGGGCGCCCACCCACCTGCCAGGGTCTTTCCCCTTCGTGGGGACTTGGACCAGGAGGGCCCCCACTTCCCACGTCCCGGGGTGACAGGTAAGGCGTCCCACACCCCAGCAAGGTCCAGGGTTGTCTGGGAGGTCAGACCCAGAGGAAGGGATGGCGATTTTTCGAGACCGGACAAAGCGGCGATGTGGAGAGGGGAAAGGAGAAAGGCCCCCGGGGGCCGGAAACACCCCAGGGAGTGACAGGAGCGTCCCAGCGAAGGCGAGTTCGGGAATTGGGAGAGACTCCCGGGGCCGGAACGCACAGACAGGAAGCGACGCGCTAGCAGGCCGGGGAGGTGGGGCGCTCGGGAGGAGTCTGGGACCTAGCCTGGGAAGAGCCAGGGGAAGCGGGGCACGGCCGGTGGGGAGGCCGGGGAAGGGGCGCCGCGGCCCGGGGGTCCCTACCCAAGGGGGCCCGCCCCCTCCCGCCGTGCCTGGCTCCGCGCCCGCCCTATCCCCGGCCTAGGCCCGCGGGCCCCCGCGACTGGCCCCGGCCCTCCCGGCCTCACCGCCCCCACGGCCTCCTGCAGCAGCGCCCCAAGGCGGCTCAGCATGATGGCGTCCGGCCCCCCCCCCCGGCTCCCGGGCGAAGGCGGCGGCGGCGCTCTCGGCGGAGGAGGCGGCGGCCCGGCGGCCCCGGCGCGGCGAGGCGAGGGAGGCGGGGCCAGGCCGCTCCGCCCCTTCTCGTCCCAGCTGCGTGGCGCTGGCTGAGCCCAGCTCAGGGCGCCCCGCCGGGCCGGGGAAGAGGGCTGGGATCCGCCTGTGGAGGGCCCTGAGAGTTGGCCAGGAGGTTTTCTTCCCCCCACCCGCCCCCCGCGCTTTCGTTTCTAGACAGTCTCTCTCGGTCGCCCAGGCAGGAGTGCAATAGCGCGATCTCGGCTCATTGCAGGCTCCAACCCCGGCCTCCCAAGTAGCTGGGACGCCACGCGCAGGCCACCACCCCCGGCTAATTATTTTTTACTGGGTGGGGAGGTCTCCCTACATTGCCTAGGCTGAACTCGAGCTCCTGGCCTCAAGCGACCCTCCCGCCAGGGCCTCCTGAGTAGCTGGGATTACAGGCGGGAGCTAAGGGACGTGTTTTCGATGAGGAATTGTAATTCCTCCTGAATTGAAGTCTCAGGCAGCCCCAGCCACATGGGCTGATGAGCTCCTGATATGTGCTGGTCCCAACCAAAATGTGTAGTGCCAGGCACATCCCGACTTGGAAGATATAGTAAGGAAGGAAACAAAGTGAAACTGCGCTAACCATGGCTTATATTGATTACATATTAAAATGACTATTAGGTGTGCTGGGTTAAAGTTCAATTTAATTTCACGTGTTGCTTTTTACGGTTTTGAAATGGCAATCAGAAAATGTTTACGGGGCGTGGGCTGTGGCTCACACCTGTAATCCCAGCACTTTGGGAGCCAAGGCGCGTGGATCACTTGAGGCCAGTTTGAGACCAGCCTGGCCAACATGGTGAAACCCTGTCTCTACTAACAATACAAAAACAAAAAATTAACCAAGCGTGGTGGCGTATGCCTGTAGTCCCAGCTACTTAGGAGACTGAGGTGGGACAATCACTCGAACCCGAGAGGCCGAGGTTGCAGTGAACCAAGATCATGCCACACTGCACTCCAGCCTGAGCAACAGTGAGACCCTGTCTCAAAAAGTTTCTGCAGCTGGGCTTGGTAACTTATGCCTGTAATCCCAGCGCTTTAGGAGGCCAAGGCTGTTGACCAACCTGGGCAACACAACAACATTCTGACCCAAAAAAAGAAAAAAAAAAAAAAATTTAGCTAGCTGTGGTGGTATACAACTATAGTCCAAGCTACTCGGGAGGCTGAGGTCGGAAGAAATCACATCATATGAGAAGGAAAGAACTCAGTTTCCCTATCGAAGGAGAAATAGCCCCCGTAAGAATTACAGAACCTCGAGTTTTGGGGTCTCGGGCTTCACAGGACCTGCCCCACCTTTTGGGGTCCATTCCCCAGTGAGGCTGAGGCACGAGAAATGCTGACCTGCCAGTCTGGGCCCTGTGCTGTGGTGTGGAGTCCGCTGCCTGCAGTCGGCTCTAAGCCAGGGTGGCCAGGATCTGGGCCTCAGGCCCTAACAACTGCCAGAGTTTGGTAAAGCCCAGGCTGAGTGAGAATTGAGATTGCAGTTCTCCAATAGGTGGGAGTACCAGTCCACTCTGCAGATTTCGGGGCCCACTCCCTCACAGGTGAAGAACGCACACTGGGTAAGTCAAATCAGCTTGCTTCCCTTCAGCATGTTTCAAAGGACTCCAGAGGATAATGAAAGTGCATTAAGAGTTCAAAACCTCTTATTCGACTTTTTAAATGTTATTTTTAAAAGTCTAATAAAAGTCAGTGTATATACTACATGTGCTATATTCCAGAAGTTTCAGAGACCATGATGTTGTGTTAAATTCTGCTGCCAGGTTAGCCCGCTTAGGGGAAGACCTTTGAATAAAGCCTCTCCTATCAGCTTAAAGGAAGAGTTGAAGACATTTTCACAGTAGATGAGACTCCAGGGCCAACATGGTAAAACCCCATCTCTACTAAAATACCACCCCACCTCCCCGGCCTACTTGCCAGTCGCTTCCTATCTGTGCGTTCTGGCCCCTGAGTCTCTCCCAGTTCCCCAACTCAACTTCGCCTTCGCTGAGGACGCTCCTGTCACCCCCCTGAAGGGGGGGAGGGGGATAGAGGGGGAGGGAAGTGGGGGGCAGCAACAGCCTACGAAGCTGAGAGTCTCAGGAGCTCAGAGCGTGCAGAGCTTAGAGCCTTGAACAGACACTGACCCACACATTTATTCTCTCTGAACAGGTGATCATTATTAACAAACAGGTGTCCTGTATTTTCTCGTAACACAAAATATGCCAAGTAGGCAGCTGGTGCCCACTTACCACTAATCACAGACAAACTAAAAAGTTTTCTCCACGAGGGAGCCACAGCGGCAAGGTCAGATATCTTAAATAATTGTTTTAACCGGTGGATGATATTTACATATCGTCCTGCCACTTTGGAATGCCCCAAGCAGTTTTCTACTTAGGCGGGGTAGGGGGATGGCTAGGTTTTCCTTGCCATCCTTCTTCCAAGCAAACAATAGATTCTATGATACACTCAGCATTTCTCCACAAAGGCCATATGGCCGGGCGTGGTGGCACATGCCTGCAATCCCAGCACTTTGGTAAGCTGAGGCAGGCAGATCACCTGAAGTTACCACCCTGGCCAAGAGGGTAAAACCCCATCTCTACTAAAAATAAAATTAGCTGGGTGTGATGGCGTGCACCTGGAGTTCCAGCTACTCAGGAGGTTGAGGCAGGAGAATAGCTTGAATTCTGGAGGCAGAGGTTGCAGTGAGCCGAGATTGTACCATTGCACCCCAGCCTGGGTGACAAGAGCAAAACTCTGTTATTTAAAAAAAAAAAAAAAAGGTGGGGTACTGTGGCTCAAGCCTGTAATCCTAGCACTTTGGGAGGCCGAGGTGGGTGGGTAACCTGAGGTCAGGAGTTCAAGATCAGCCTGGCCATCATGGTGAAACCCCATCCTTTAAAAACTTAAAAAAAAAAAAAAAAAAAAAAAGGAGAAGGCCATATAGTCAATGAATCTCAAGGTGAAAGAATTTGCTCAGGTTCTTATTTTTGTTTATTTATGTGTGTGTTGTGGGGAATAGGCACTGAGAGATTCTAAGGCTTTATGTTAGGGACAGAGAGCTCCATTCTGAGCTGTTATAATTTTTTTTTTTTTTTAATTTTAATAGACATGGGTTTTCACTATGTTGGCCAGGCTGGTCTCAAACTCTTGACCTCAGGTGATCTGCCTGCCTTGGCCTCCCAAAGTGCTGGGATTACAGGTGTGAGCCACTGCGCCCAGCCTTAGTGTTTGGTTTTTTTTTTACATTTTTTATTTCTATAGGTTATTGGGTAACAGGTGGTATTTGGTTCCATAAGTTCTTTAGTGATTTGTGAGATTTTGGTGCAGCCATGTATATACACTGAATCCAATTTGTAGTCTTTTATCCGTTGCCCTTTTCCCACCCTTTCCCCCTTAGTCCCCCTGAGTCCCCAGAGTCCATCGTGGTTTTTTGTTTTTTTGTGACAGAGTCTGGCTCTGTCACCCAGGCTGGAGTGCAGTGGCACGATCCCAGCCCACTGCAACATTCACCTCCCAGGTTCAAGTGATTCTTGTGCCTCAGCCTCCTGAGTAGCTGAGATTACAGGTGTGTGCCACCATGCCCAGCTAATTTTTTGTATTTTTAGTAGAGACGAGGTTTTGCCATGTTGGCCAGGCTGGTCTTGAACTCCTGAGCTTGGTCAAGCCTCCTGCCTCGGCCTCCCAGAGTGCTAGGATTACAGGTGTGAGCCACTGTGCCTGGCCATTGTGACATTCTTATGCCTTTGCATCCTCAGAGCTTAGCTCCCACTTACAAGTGAGAACACGTGAAGTTTGGTTTTCCATTTCTGAGCTACTTCACTTAGAATAATAGTCTCCAATTTCATCAAGGTTGCTGCGAATACCATTCATTCGTTCCTTTTTACGGCTGAGTAGTATTCCATCATAGATACGCTCTAAATTCTCATGAACTGAAAATCCTTTAGGACCTAGGGCCAAACCTGCCCCTACCACATACATTTCCCAAACCCTGTCTCCAGCACCCCTTAGGGTTCAATGACCTTGACATTTTCCCAAACAGCCTGAGAGCTCTTTGTGGACAAGGGGCAATGCCAGCCTCATCACTGCTGTGTTCCCCATGCCCAGAGCAGGTTAAGCCCCCAGCATTTTCTGAATGCTTAGTATCGGGTATGTGTGCAGAGACCTCCTCTCTCTGTCTGCAGCTCCTAGTCTGTCCTCCTCTGCTTGCCCTTCACTGACCGAGGGACCTGTTGGGAAGGCCCTGGAAAGCTGAGTGCCGTCTCCATTCTCCACTCATTCGTTACTGTGGCTCTGGGCTTCAGAAGAAATGTCTCTGTCCCACCATTTTCTCCTTTGCTAAGAAGATGACAGTGGTCTGTCCTGTTGCCCTCATAGGTTTGCTGAAGGGATAAAATGATGTGGATGCAGCGGACTCCTACAATGTAAAACAATTGCTCACATGTGAGGGATTCTTACCCACTTTGCTTGTTTCAGCCACAGGGGCTAGGAACTCAACTCAAGGACTCAGGCCAGGCCCCAGCTCCAGTCTCAGGTTCATAAGTTGGGCACTCTCCAACTCACCTGGTCCCTCCGAGCACAGACCTCTTCCTGTGCCGACACGTGGTTCTGCTCCAGCCAGGTGAGGCCAGCCCCTCCCCATGTAGGTACCCGCACCTGCAGGCAGTCATCCTCCTTGTCCTTCACTCAGATCTGCAGCCTCTCTCCCACCCTCAGCCCACAACCCGCAATTCCCTGTCTATTCCCCTTGGGAGGGCTTGCCAAGTCAACCAAGACCAGATTCCCATCTTCCCCTCTTGGCCTCCCCTTGACTCGTCCTCCAGCTGCCATTTCTCCATTCCTTAGTTTCCCCTGCCTGTTTCTTGGCAATCCACTCACCATACATTCACACCCCGCTGACCTTTTCTGTGTGTCTGGCCTCCCCATTGGACTGTGAGCCCCCTGCCTCTTGGGAGGTGCGATCATGTCCGACGTTGAGCTTGGGCACCAAGGCAAGCATGTCAGA